AATTGGCCAACATAGGGCGGACCAGGACATTATATTTTAATTTTATATAAATTAATCATCGTTGGAAGGGCTAAAGAGAGCTCGATTAATTGGTTATTAAACAAGTCTAATTATGATATCTACTTCAAAAAGAAAAAGAAAAAAAAAACTAATATTTAACACCAACTAATACCCAAATTGTCAATTCGCACTTGTTAGATTCATAGATAATCACGTTAAAAATACATTATCTTTACTGAACCGATGTGATGCAAAGTTTAATAATACGCAAATTGCCAAGTACGGTAAAGTTTAATAATAAGTATGTGTATAGATATAAATAAGTATGTTAAAAGTCTACGGATATTTTTTTAAATAATATTTTTATTTAAACTTATTTTTAAAATAATGCTGCATTAAATAAAATTAAAGAAAAAATATTTATTTTGAAACTTATTCCAAAAATATTATTTTTGAAATTCGTTCTCCACTTTGTCGTCGAGAGACAATCATAAGGACGTGGCGTTTAATTAGTGCCACGTCTTATTTTTTAAAAAGATTAAGATAGGGTCGTCTCTTCATCGTCTCTTGTAGAGACGATCATGTGCCAAAACCCATTTAACGGTCATTTCTTCAAGGGACGGAAGGACAACTTGGATTTTTAAGGAAAAAAATAAGTATTATATATATTATATATTAAAAAGTTGATGTCGTTTTTGGAAATTGACTAATGGTGTAGTGGATGATGGTGCAATCGACTTCACTCACGGTTCGAGTCGAGTTCTAAATATTGTAAGTTTTTTTTCACATTATTATTATTATTATTTTATTATATATTATTTATATTTTAATATATTTAAAAAAAAGCATTTCTTTTTATTTTTACTATTAATCAACACTTTACTTATTATTATTTGTTATTATATCATTATATTTTATATATTATTTTTAATAAGCTGTGTATAAAATATATATACATAATTATTATAGTTTTAATATAATAAAAAATGAGAAACGCGTTAATCAAGGCTCGAATACAAAAAAAAATCTTGTATATAAGTTGATTACAAATCAAGTGTATTAAAATTGACTTTAAATAAATAGTTGATTATATATAATAATTAAGGTGATTACAAATCTACTCAAAAGTATAATAATTATAATAATATATAAAATATATTGATATAATAATAAATAATAATAATTATTGCACTCTTCCTCAAGGGAAAAAAATATTAATTATTACTAAAAATAATAATAATAATAATAAGTAAAAAATGGATTAATAGCAAGAGGAAAAAATAAATACATACCTAGTTTATGAAATATATTATAATATAAATAATAATAAATTATAAAATATAATAATTATAATAATGTATTGTTTTAAAATAATAATAATAATAATTAAAAAATTGATTAATAGTAAAAAAAAAAAACTTACCGTTTTTTAGGCTTAAACCCGTGAAGAGAGTGGAGAAGATTGCGCCATCATCCACTACGCCACTTATCAATTTCTGAAAATGAAATTTATTTTGTAATATATAATATATAATAATACTTATTTTTTTCCTTAAAATTCCAAGTCGTCCCTCCGTCCCTTGAAGAAGCGGCCGTTAAATGGGTTTTGATTCATGGTCGTCTCTTACCATGTCTTGATTTAAAGAAAAAAAAAGACGTGTCGCCAATTAAGGGCTACGTTCTTATGGTCGTCTCTTCGAGAGACAACCAACTACTAAAAATGACATGGTCTCTTTGAAGAGACGACCAAGTGGAGAACAAATTTTAAAAATAATATTTTTGTAATAAGTTTCAAAATAAATATTTCTTCCCTAATTTTATTTAATGCAGCATTATTTTAAAAATAAATTTAAATAAAAATATTATTAAAAAAAAATCCTAAAGGCTGCCATTACCCTTAAATCTTGTAATGTAGCACAATCTGAACTCTGAAGTTCCATATTCTGATCCCAATTGCTGCCTTTTGGAGCATGACACGCAGATGCTTTTATTCAGCTTGTTCCATCTTTGTACAAAGACAAAAGTAGGAAGTAATGATAAATTAAACGAAATATTAAAAAACAAAAGAGTGGATCTTGTTTTTATGTTGTAATTTATTGACCAAATTAAACTTGAAAGTATCGCATTAGGGGCGGGGCTTGCTTCCATGTGTCTATAAAAGGGAAGTTGGATTTGTAGTTTCTCCCATCAAAATATATCCAACCAGCCATAACACCACAAACATGTCGCCCTTTAAAGCTGCAGCTTTAGTTATGTTCGTGGGTATGATATCGGGGACCTCTTTGGCTCAGCTCAGCCCCACTTTCTACGACCAAACATGCCCTAATCTATCCACCATCGTCAGAGATGTGGTGACCCAGGCACAGGCAGGCGATGTTCGAGCAGGAGCCAAGCTTATTCGTTTTCACTTCCACGACTGCTTCGTCAATGTAAGCTGGCCTCAAAGTTTGTACATTTTCTCTTAAATTTTTTGAGTGAGAAAAAATATATTGGAAATGGAGGGATGAATTGAATTTGTGCAGGGTTGTGATGGGTCGGTACTACTGGAGAATGCAGATGGCATAGAGAGCGAGCTAGACGCTCCTGGGAACCAAGGAATCCAAGGCTTCGAAATAGTCGACAATATCAAAGCCGCAGTCGAGGCTGCCTGCCCAGCCACCGTCTCTTGCGCCGATGTCTTAGCCATTGCATCTCGTGAATCTGCAGTACTGGTAAGGAGCTTTCTTTATTCAGTTCAATATGTCGTGTGTACTGAGATAATTGTTTATGTTTGTTTTAGACTGGAGGGCCAAGTTGGGAAGTCCAACTGGGAAGAAGAGACAGCAGAACAGCAAACAGATCTGGAGCCACAAACGGCCTCCCTTCCCCTTTCGAGACCCTCCCCGAACTTCAAGTAAAATTCGCTGCAGTTGGGCTGGACTCCACT